CCTTTTATTAGTTTGATGTAAAAAATATCAGTTGGCGCATTGGCTACTTTTTGGGCTACATATTATTTATAAATATATTAGTTGAATAAAAATGCACTTTAATTAAAATGGTGTTTCGTCGTTTTTTATTAATTAGAGACCCAAATAAAACAAATATTTGTGTTTTTCAAATAAATTTTTGTTTGTCTCCTTTATAATAAATGAATTTATCTATTTCTAAGTAAAAATTGAAAGTGTCTGTAAAAAGTAATTTTTAAAAATATTTTTTTTTGTGGTGAACTTTTAATACTTATTACTATAATCTAGACATGTTAATACTTAAATATACTTGTGGCCCAAAACTCCATGACTTCTTCCAATGTGGCCCAGAGAAACGAAAAGGTTGGACACCCCTGATCTAGAGCTTTACAGAAGTGAAAAAAACAGATCTTTTTCCCACAGTAAATCTGTCTTATTATGACTGCTATAACTGACATTTTATATATCTATTAAGTATTGTTAAAAAGTGATTTATTTTCTTATCCATGTAATTATGTATTAATAAAACAGTGTTAATCTTTTTGTACACAATAATTCTATAGTATTGATATGTTCTTTTTCATAAAAAGATTTTTCAGAATTATAGGGACATTTTTTAGAATAATTCATAAAATACTATTTTGTAAAATATTACATGTTTTTAAATTATAAGATGTACCCCATACTATTATAACATATACAATACATTCAATAAAATTAGTTTTATAAGAACTATTCACTTATTTTCCAGAGTAGCTGCTGAGTATCCATCAAATTTTACCACAGTGCTATCTGTGGCATGTTTTCTTACAGGCAAAAAGGGCAATTGCCTGGGGCCCCTCCTAACAAAGTTGGCAACCAATTTTTTATAAGAATTTTCTCCAACAAATTTTCCTGAAAAAAATATGTTAAGTTGACACTGTACAAGGGGCCCCCTAATTTAAATTTGCCTGGGCCCTGTGAAGCTATTGTGCGTTTTGTATGTGAATGTAATTTGCCAACAAAGGTTGGATCAAAAATTTCAGACAAGTCACCAACAAGAACGTCTGGTATATAAACAAAATGAAACAGAAATTTATTTTTTGAGCACATACTTACAGGATTTTTTTCTTTTTTAAGATTCTGATTATAGTCAGCAACCTGTGCTTGTTTCCTCCCAAAAATCTTTGTTTGCATCACAAAAGTACAAAAGTAATTTCCATTTAAAAGTTACAATAATCATAAACTAAGGCTATGGTAAAACTATCTTAAAAACTAGAAGACAAAGATATGAAATAAGACATGCAAAGAAGATAGGATAGAATAAGGATAGAAATATCTGGGGTATTTTTTCTTTGCGATTGAATAATATTCCTTTTTGATGAAGAAGGGGTCCTCCGGGAAGTCTTCATAAAAAGTTCTTTCTTTAGGTGCAATACGCTTTGATACTTTCCTTTTTCTTTCTACTCATCACAAGAGTTTATCAAACAATCTGTGGAATATGTTTGGATCACCTGCCAACTCTTCTTGTTTGACTCTGCTCCTAGCACCCCAAGTCCTTTTCTCGGCTTGAGAGAAAGTACATTCTCTTCTTCTGATGGTCAGGTGAAAAGTGCCTGCAACTTTTCTCGCCACTTCCCATGTGACTTCCCTTTTCATTGTTCCTGATGGTTCCAAGAATGGCCCCTCCTTGTTGACTGATGAAAGAACAAAAGTAAACAATGTTCTTGAAAACGA